CAAGGAAACAACACTGATGGTGTGGACTTTGGGGTGGTCTTGTCCTCAGAGGGCCCCTCTAGCACTCTCTGGGGCCTCTCGGCCTCTTCTGGTAGCTCCACCAACCAGCGATCCACAACCTGACCAGATCAGCCGAGGCTCTCTCTCCATCTTGATACCAAGGCTATGGCTCTTGTCCTCACTTGGGCTTGGTTTGGAATCATTAGGTAAGATGCAGCATTTCTTGAGTTCTACAGATCAACTAGGGGAAGTGCTGGTACCTCCAGTGGGGTTAAATATCTGTTGCTGCCTCACACATTACCCCAGCACCCAGCATCTCAAAGTGACCATTTATTGTCTCAGTTTCTGTGGGTCAGGAAATGTGGTAAAGCTGGGTGGTTCTGGCTCCGGGTCCCTCATGAGGCTGCAGTGAGCTGTCAGCCAGAGCTGAGGTCCTCTGGGACTGGAGGAGCCCCTTTCAAGCTCACTCACATGGTTCCGACCGGCCTTTCTTGGCTGTTCTTTGGGTACTTTCTTTCCTCATCAGGGGGGGGCTCTTCCCAGGCTACCTGAGTGTCCTCATGTCATGGCAGCTGAGTCTCCCAGAGTGAGTGATTCAAGAGAGGGAGAGAAAGGGAGTTACCCAGGATGGAAGCCACAGTCTTTTTTTTTTTTTAATTTTTTATTAAGGTATGATTGATACACACTCTTATGAAGGTTTCACATGAAAAAACAATGTGTTTACTACATTTACCCATATTATCAAGTCCCCACCCATACCCCAGTGCAGTCACCGTCCATCAGTGCAGCAAGTTGCCACAGATCCACTATGTGCCTTCTCTGTGCTGCACTGTTCTCCCCGTGATCCCCCACACCATGTGTACTAAACATAATACCCCTCAGTCCCCTTCTCCGTCCCTCCCACCCACCCTCCCACAAGCCTTCCCTTTGGTAACCATTAATTCATTCTTGGAGTCTCTGAGTCTGCTGCCATTTTGTTCCTTCAGTTTTGATGGAAGCCACAGTCTTTTTATAGCCTAATCTCAAAAGTGACTTCTTTAGTATTCTGTGTGTTAGTACAAGACTTCAAGGCCAGCCCACACTTCATTTCCACCTCTAGAACAGAGGACATTAACAAAATATTTGTGAGTGTATTTTTAACACCACCCCAAGAACACTGTCTAATCTCCAATAGGTGATAGAACCCACCAGGAAAGCATGAATCTGAGGTTCATGAAGACCCAGGTTTAATCCTGGCCCCTACATTTGTTACTTATGTAAGACGTTTAACCTTTCTAGATCTTCATTTCCTAATCTGCAAAATAGAGGTAAGAATAGTAGATGTTTTATTAGGTTACTGTGAAAATTAAATAAATCATACACATAAAGTGCCTGGCACAGAATAAGTACTGAATAAATATTAATTGCTACTGTAACTGGATAATATTGTCCTTCACAAGAGGCAGGATAGCACAGAGCCTAAGTGGTGGACAGGTGGAGTCAGAAAGCCTGGATGGGGACTCTGGTTCTGCCAGTCATTGGCTGTGAGAACCCAGGCAAGTCACTTAACAATCTCTTGGCCTTGGTTTTCTGTAAAGTGAAGATAGTAATAGCTAGTACCTGGCCACCTAATAGGTGTTCAATAAATTTTATGAATAAGGAAATAGATGACAAAGGAGTATAGTGACAAAGGGGTACTGTGTGTGTGTGTGTGTGTGTGTGCTTGGGATGCTACACAAAACACATTTGACTCCAGACACCTTCTGTTAACTGGGAGCCTAGTACAGCTGTCCTGGTTCCACTCTAGCATGCCCCTGTACCCCTGAGCATGTCACCCTCCATGAACTTTCAGTTCTGTCACTCCTTGTGGGTGTTCTTGATCTCATTGTTCAGCTTCTTTTCCTCCCTGGCTTTGTTCAAGCATACTTCCTTCATCATCCCTGCTGCCTCCACCAAGAATATGTTTAATTGGCTTTGCTTGAGTCTGGAGATTCAGTGACAAGAAGAGTGGGGGAGGGGTCTCCTATGTCACGCCACCTCAGAGCTGATGCATTACGTTAAATTGATATTGCAAATGAAAGCTAAAAGCTAAGCAAAGGCGAACCATCCATTTTGCCTAAAGATGATTATGATGCTCTTTTACAGCCTCCTAAATGACAAAGCAATTTGTTACCTGCCTGCATCAACATTTGCTTATATTAGCACCCGAAATACTTGATTTTTATTAGTCCCACGTTATCATTTTATGAAGACACAGGGGCTCAGTAAAATTAGTGTGCAAATAGAATGCTCATTTTGCATTTCCCTGTGGTCAGCAGAAATGTTGAATGCAATTGAGTTGATACCAGGTCAGGGGAGACATCCATAAAGGTAGCCTTCACTGAGGGCCTCTGTAATGGTATTTATCATTTCTAGACTGCTAGGATAGGTGGGGTCAGTGTTAGACAGTGTTTTATAAAAAGGTTTGGTGGCATTTTGTTTTTTAAGTGAAAAAGCAATATAAATGCTAAAACAGTAGCTCAACTTCCACCAGCACTAAGGGATGAAACCAGACTCTCTTGTGTACATTGCAGATGAAAATGCAGCAGATGTAGAATCTGGTATCATTGTTAGTGGATCCAGTAGGGAGACAGGGCAGTGAAAGGGCCACTGGACTGGGAGCTGGGGCTTGACTCTGCCATTGCTAGCACATGGCCTTGGGCATGTCCCTTCCTGCTGTGAGCCTCAGTTCCCTCACCTGTAAATTGGGGTTAATATTATCCACCTCACAGAGGCATGGTGAAGATTAGATAAGACAATGTAAGCCTAAATTTCTTTATGAACCACAATCTACATAGCCAGTTCCTGAGTACTTATTGCATTCAGGGTCCTAGGAAAGACATTAAAAATACACCATGAAGTCATCATCTCCCTTGATAGTTTATATTCAGTCCAGGAAACTTCAAGTGTCTAACTCCTCTTTTAAACCATAAATTTCTTTGAGCAGGTGAGCTTTCTCTCTCCTTTTGTTCCTAAAGGTGCCTACCATAAAGCTGAGCATGGAGTGAGTTTTCAAGAATGTATTTTGGCTCCCATTTTATTTCTTGCTACCTTTTTGGGGCCTTGTATTAGTGAAGCAGTGACCTTAATACTGGTCACCCCAGTAGACTGATCAAGTCCCAAGCCTGCAGAATTGTGCTTAATAGAGTTCATTTTTTTTGTTTCAATCTCTAACATTGGTACCATTGGGATCATGGACCACATTCAAAATAACCTGTCCCTAAGCATTTCAGAAGCAGAAAGCCTGTCAATTATTTCTACCTCCTTTCTCCATCCAGATTCCTAACATAGCTGGAATCCTTTAATCCAGCTTCTCTCAATGTTAATTTCTGAATTTCCTTCAGGTCATTGTTCTGTTTTGTGTCTACTGGTCCTTCTGCTGGTGGCTAGATAACCTCCTCCTGCCCCTTCTTTCGGGGAATTTCATTCTTGGCTACTGCTTTTGTCTAATAGTATCTTTGAAAAGTAGTGAAATTTTATTAGTTTTCTTTAGAGGCATCAAGACTTTGAGCTCTTTTTTGAGCCTAAAAAACATGATTTTGAGCCATGTTTTCCTACTTCTTTGCATGTCTAATAATTTTTATTGGATGCTGGATACTGTGAATTATACATTGTTGAATGTCTGTATTTTGTTGTCTTTCATTAAAGATGGTTGGACTTTGTATAATAAGGAATTAAATTTCTTTTGTTCAGGTTGATCCTTTTGAGATTTATTTAAAATTTTGTTAGAGTGAGTCTAGAACAGCTTAGCCCTACCAGTAAGGCATGACCTTTCTGGGTTCTCTTCTGCATGCCCAGAATGATCAATGAGGCCTTCTATTTTGGGGGTAGGGATTCGAATAATTCCTTGCCCTGTCTGAGCCCTGAGAACTGTGCAGGTCATAGGTCCCTGGTGATCTTTTTTCATGACATTATGAAGATTCACCCTATGCATTCACATTATGCATTTACCCCATGAACCCTATACCTGAACAAGGACACGTGAAGGCTCATGGATTTCTTGAACTCTTTTTCTACAGAACCCCCTCTTCTCTATAGGGAATTTAGAGTTTCCCTATAGCTACTGCCTGCTTTAGACTCTCTGAACTTCTATTTCAGTGGGAGTGCCATACTCTGCTCAGGACACTTTTATGCTCTGTGGTCTGGAATAGGCCCTCCAGGCAAAAACCAGAGCAATCAAGGGGCACACCTGATTTGTTTCCTTTTTCTCATGGATTAGCCTTGCACTGCCTCTTGTCCAATGTCTGAACACAGTTGTTTTGTACACTTTGTCCAATAATCTAGTTGCCCAAGGTGAAAGAGAAATCTGGTCCCTGTTACTTCATTAAGGCCAAACAGCACTTGGGTTCCAGTCTCAGCTTTATCCCCACCTATTAGCTGTGTGTCCTTGAACAAGTTATATAACTTATCTGAGCTTCACTTTCTGCTTCTGTAAAAGGTGTAGGTGTTTCTATAAGGATTTTAAATAATATATATAATGTGCCTGACATAAAAGGTATTAATTGAATGGCAGCTGCTACTATTACTATTACTAAAATAAATAGCTACCTTCTTTCTCCATCATTTGCTGAATATTTATGGTATGCTAGGCAATATGTAAGCTTGTTTAATCATTACAACAACCCTATGAAGTAAATATTATTATCCATATTTATAGATTAGCAAATTAAAACTCCAAAAGGATATGAAATTTGCCTAGGGCCACAGCCATTGGATCTGGGATTGACTTCACTTGCATGACTACTTCAGATGACTGTAATATTAGAAAGATCAACTGCACCAAAGAAGAGGAATACAGTCTTTTGATATTAGGCAACTAGGGACATAATTTCATTAGTCAGCAATTGCAGGGCCTTAATGGTGCTAACCCAGTGATTTAAGATATAAATGTACCCAGCCCATTCCACATTCCACTCACTCCCACATACTAGTCTTAGCTTTGCTCATCCTCCTTAGCAACCATCTTCTGTTTTATCTTTCAGACAACCTTCGGGAAGGGGCAGAGAAGAAGGTGGTATTCATCACAGGACGAGTCCACCCAGGGGAAACACCCTCTTCGTTTGTATGCCAAGGTGAGTTGCAGGATGTCATGGGCATGCTGTGCTTACCTCCCACATCCAGCTGTGTTGACCCCTGGACAGTGTGGCCATATACAGGGCCATTATCTTGGACAGGAATTTATTAGTGAATAAATTAGTGAAGAGGTTACAACTGATCTCCATTAGGCTTTGTTTTAGTATTTATTTGACTACATGTATGTGTGAATGAATGAATGAATGGATGAATGGATAAATGAATAGCAGGGACTGAGTGAAGTCCTCCCGCATCTGCACTGTTGAGGATGAGCCACACAGAGTTAACGACACTCCCTAGCTTTGCCTTGCTAGTCTTCAGTGGTTTACAAAAATAAGAAATCTGGCCTCCCCACCCCACCACCACTACCAAAAAAAAGAAAAAAAAATCTGTTCCCAGATTTGTGTTTTTGTTGGTAGAAGTGCAGTGAACTGGGGAAGTAAGGATTGAAAATTATCTATGTGCTCATTTATTCGCTCACTCACTTAAAAAACAACTTCTGGAATATCTACCATGAGCAAGGAAGCATGCTTCATATCAGGCAACTAGAAGTAAATAAGACATAATTTCTCAAATACTATCTCTTTAAAACTGCATTTTCATTTATTGTGGAATATTTAATCCATAAAAATATTAGTTAGCAATATATGTGTATATGCATGCATGTATATTCAATTAGGCAGCAATAAAAGTATATTCAATAAATAATATATAAATAATTTAGTGAATGCCCAGGTACTCACCATCTTAAGAAGCAGAGTCTTTTTAAATCTTTTATCCTCTTCTTTGGCTTCCCCCTCACACAGACAACACCAGCTTGAGTTTTATATTTGTCTTTCTTAATAGTTTTACTATACATATCAGCACTTCCAAACAGTGTATTTTTAAATTTTGCATGTTTCTGAACTTTATAAAAATGCTATCATCGTGTATGTGTTGGCATTTGTTTATATCCAGTATCCATGGTGCACGCAGCAGTAGTTAACTTGATTTCACCATATGTTGTATTCCATGTCTTATCTATACCTCAGCTTACCTATCTGTTCTCCTGAAGATGAACAATTAAGCTGTTTACACATTGTTTTACAAACAATACAGATACAAATGTTCTTATATATATATGCACCTTATGCACATGTGCAAAACTTTCCAGGACATATAACCATGGAATATAATTGCTGGGTCTTAGGCTATGTGCATCTTCAACTTGACTAGATATTTCTAAATTTCTCTCCAAAACATGTAACTTTATACTGCCACCAGCCAGTTCCTACTGTCCCACATTCTCACCAGCACTTTTGCATTTTTATCTTTCTAGTTGATATATTAGATTCAAAATACATGATACTCTATGTGTGCCAAGCACTGGTCTAAGCACTTTGCATGTTTTAGTTATTGATTTTTATTAATTTAATGTAATTTTTAATTATATTTTTCTATGTCAAATACACAAATATTAACTGTATTTTTACATATGAGAAAACTGAAGTGTGCGGAAGTTAGGTAATTTATCTCATTGTAGTTCAAAATGACCATGAGGCCAAAGGGATATGAAAAAACCCAAAGAGGTTATTTAACAGAGGGAGGCAGCATGCTACCATGGGAGCATCTGGTGACTTTCCATAAACCCTGGGGTCAAATATTGGCCCTGCCTCCTCCCAGTAGTGTGATTTCAGTTTCTTCAGATCTAAAATAAATGAGCATACCAATACCTGTCCATGGAGGGTGTTATGAAGCTGGCACGAGATGAATATAAACAAACACCCAGGTCTGTGCCTGGCAAACAGCAGACACTCAACAGATGTGCCTCCCCTTCGCTGTCCCCAATGGGAATATAAGAAGATTGGAGCAATAATCTGCTTTGTAACCTTTGTAAACCCATATGCAAATGATATGGGTCTTATTTTCCTCATCATGCTCTTAGAGTACTGTGATTAGGCCCAGGTACCTCCGCCTTTGTTTCAGACAAGGAGACTGAATTTCAGCAAGCGGCAGTGGCTGGGGTTTGCGGCTCCCTGCTCCAGCTACCTTAGTTTGCTCCTTGGCATTTTTCACTCCCAACCTCTTTCCTTCCCAGCAGTGTCCTTGCAGTGACCTCTCCCAGGTGGTCCTGGTTTTACCAACTCCTTTCTTGGTAGCCATCTGTCAGTTACTAAACTTGGCAGCAGAACTGTTCCCCCAGTTAATCGGATGCAACTATTTTATCCTCATTTATAAAAAGACAGTAGCCTCACCATGAATACTTTCACCTCAAGGAGCCTAAACTCCTGTGCCCACCTCCTCTGTGGGCAGTAGACAGAGGGCAGGATCACCATCCCATCTTACGGATGAGGCCAGGCCTAGAGAAGTTCAGCAGGTCTCAGCCTATGACCCAGCTTTTTCTGTTGACACTGCTTTCCAAAAAGGAATCTCAAGGGTGCCAAGTTGATAGACTCAGTGCTGTTCTGCAGGTTTGCGATCAATGTTCACTTCTTGGCAGAGCCTTTTATTGCCTTCCCACCACCTTCTCAAAATAAACTCTGAACTCCTTGGCCTGACATTCACAACCCGTCATGATCTGTCTCTTGCCAGGCTGTCTGGACTCAGCCTCATTCTGTCCCAGTCCCACACATCTTTATCCCTGAGTGAACAATCTTCTCTCCACCATTGGCCTTTGCATCTGAAGCTCCTCCACCCAGACAGCCCTGTGCCCTCTCCTTGCCACCTAGAAAACACCTCCCATTTCCCAAGGTTCATTTTTCAAGTACCCCCCGTAGGCCCCCGGCCCACCTCCTTAAGCCCCTGCTTTGTGCCTGCATTGTGGGTTACCCAGTGGTCACCTCTGATTTTTTTATTTGATTTACATTTGTTTCTCCCCCTTTGTATGTATGCTGTTTGAGGCTTAGGGCTGGATATTTGAGTGTCATTTTCCATGTCTGAAAAATGAGGTTATCCTATACATCCCATGGGCTGTTGTGAGGAACAAACCCCTGTTGGCTCTGGGATGCTAAACCTAAGTTCAGAAAGAGGAGCCTCAAGGTCACACAGCCAGAGGGGGTCTTTGAATGTGGCTTTCCCAAGCCTGTATGTGCTCTTGCCCTGTTTGGGGATGCGAAGTGCTAGAACCCTTAGCTTGAGGCCTGGAAGACTTCACAACAATTAATGTGCATCTTACAGAGGAGAATGGGGTGGTGCAGGGAAGATAAATGGCTTATCCAAGATCACACAGCTCATTCATGGCAAATGTGGTTCTGAGATCCCTCTTCCCAGGCCTGGTTTTCCTTTTTCCCTATCTAACTATCCCTTGAGACACAGAATTCTCCCTTCTTTAAGGCAGCTTAAGACAAGCGTCATTCTCCCACTTTGTCAATGAGGGACTGAGGCACAGTCTTTACCTTTCTCAGCCCCCTGGACACAGTGAAGACCACAGTCTCACAGAGCTCTGCTGGGGCTTTTCCCCACAGGTCCAGCCATAAACTGGATCCCCTCCCCAGCCCATTGTTTTGGAGAGGCCAAGGGGTTCAAGGCCTGGAAGGACAATGACTGAGATACCTTTGGTCTGTTCATTCTTCTTTCTATCCGCTGGCTTGCTGCCCTTGAGCAGGGAGCAGACATGTGGGGCCTAGTCGTCCCCATCTGGCTGGGGCCGTGGCTCGCAGGGCTGAGCTGCTGCCCCATCTGCTGCTGGGAATAGAGTACAGCCCCTTCATCGATGAGCTCTGCAGGGGGCGGCCTCTGGGAGGCCAGACTCTCCAGTTCTCCAGCTGCATTGTGAGAGGTCAGAGGAGCTCCACATTGCTCTGTAGCAAAATGTGTGTGAGCAGAGCTTCTGGAGCTAGAATCCCAGCCCCACCACTTAGTATGGTATGACCCAGGGGATGCTCCATAACTACCCCGTGCCACAGTTCCTTTACCTTGAAAGGGAAATAATAATAAGAATCCTGCCCCACAGGATTGTTGAGAAGACTAATGGACTTAATATTCGTACAGCATTTAGGATTGTATTGGAATATAATAAGCACTAAATGAGTGCTGTTAGTAGGTGGGGGAGGGAGCACTACTGGAACACACTGCAGGAGCCAGGTGTGGATGCTCCAGCCCTGAGTGTGAATCAGACCAGTGTGTGCCCCCACCCCTTCCTTGCTGCCTTCCCAAGAGAGCCTTTGGCTGACTGCTCCTCACTTATGCACCAGAAGGACCATGTGGTGAGTCAGAAGTTTGGCCAGGATGAGACCTCGGGTCTGTGACTCCTGGTCAAGTGACTATTCTTTCATGAAAGTGTCCTGGAGTTGTTGGGACAACTCTCACTGAAAAACTCCTCACACATATCTCTTGAGGATCTGTTGAGCCCTTGTCCTCTGCAGATCCTTCATAACTGAATCAACTAAACCAACATTAATAGGATGGCACTGTGGCAAGGCACACCACCCTCTGAGGGTGGCATGGAGCAGTGGGCCTAGCTGAGGCTTTGGATTTGGGCAGGCCTGGGTTTGACTTCCATATTCACCTCCTCGCTGGGAATCTTTGGCAAATCCTCAACTCTCAGAGCCTGTTTCTTTGCCTGCAAAATGTGGACATCAGTGTAGACTGCAGGGAGCTGCTGTGAGGATTAAATGGTCCTGCTGGTACATGCCAAGGTGTCTACCAGGGCCTGGACTGTGAGATAGAGCTGGCCTTCCCTCAGGGAGCTCTCTCCCAAGGGTTATCCTTTTGGGGAAGGATAAGGAGGAAGGAGAATACACAGGCACACACACGCACACACAAACTATGCACTTACAACCGCTAGGACCAAATACAGTCCAATATTTCTCACGGTGAAGTGGTGACCTTTACCCCTTCCTCCCTCCTCCACCCTGTTGGTTTCCTCTCACTTCTCTCCCTCACCTGTTGGTGCCGCTTTCCTCTTGCTCTCTGTCCCATGCAGCCTCACGTTATAAGCGTAACACTAGATCCACCAAATAAACTCCTTGATCCTCCCATCTTGTCCTAATGGAAAGGGTACCACTCTGAAGCCCAGAGAGCTGCATTTGAATTCCATCTAGACAGGTAGGAGACACTTAGCAAGTGATGTCACTATCCTGACTTTGTTCTTTTATTTGTAGAATGAAACTGGCAGATTGCAGGTTAATCTAGCTAATGCATGTACAGGGCTTGTCATTGGTCCATCTTTATTCATTCATTTCACATATATCTCTTGAGGACTTGCCCTGTGTTCAGCACTGAGCTAGGCACTCACAAAACAGTGTCGAAGGGGTAGACCTGTCTTTGCCCTCTTGGAGCTCATGCCTGGAGGGAGGACAGACTTGAGCAGCAGATGCAAGTCTCAGCCCCCAAAACTCAAAAGTACAGGAAATGCAGCTTTCCTTATTTTTCTGTAACTGAACTCAGTTTCCATTTGAGGCCCTATTCTGCCAGGAACCAGAAACTTCATTTCATTCATTTTGGGGTCACTTTTCCCAAGATCATGTGATATCAGTGAAGACTTCTAACGCTCTTGGGGCCGTAGACAAATAATCTTGTTCTGAGTGTCACCACCAATCCACACTGCTTCCCCGCTACTACGACACCCTGGGTCCTGACTGCAGCCTCTTTATGTTCATTGGTTCCCTGCTGTGTCTGCCCCTCCCTCTACCCTGAACACCTTCAGGATGTCAAGCGCTCCCTCCAAACCACATTCCTGCTGCAGCCAGGGGGGGCCCCCAACCCCCAGATCTGACCTTGTGCTTTGCAGTGGCTCCCTATGCCCTTCATATTCTTCAGCAGGACCAGGTAGTCCCTGTTTATCTCTCCCCCTTCTCTCCCAACATCCTCCCATCCCTACACCTTTAGCCAAACCAAGTAAGAGCAATGATTAAAGCACACCCACGTAATACTTCCTATTTGCCAGACACTTTTTTTGTATTAACTCGCTGTGATCCTCACAATAACCAACTAGGTGATTTTTTTTTCCTTAACTAATGAGAAAGCTGAGCAGCTCAGAGATTAAGGCCACACAGCTTGTCAAACCCAAATAGTCTGCCTTCAGAGCCTCTGCCTTTAATCATAAAGCTATGCCGCTGGAATTGAAGAGCTTTCTGTTAGCAAATAAACTGTCTTCGTTCTCACCTCCCAGGCTTTGTGTAGGAATTCCTCTACCTGGAGCACCTTCTCCTGGCACCCCATCCACCTCGATCACTCTCCTTATTCTTTAAGTCCTTGTCCTCCATGGCCCCTTCCTGGGCCATAGGCTGGGTCAGAAGCCTGCTCTGGGTTCTCACGCTCCCCATGCTGTTCCTACCAGAGCCTTGGACAGTCAGTACAGTGGAGGTTGCTTTCCTACCTACTGAGACAGGAATTTCGTATGCACCTTGAAACGCCAAGCTCATGGTGAGGACCTTGCCATCTGAATGTTTGTGGGATGAGTGATTATCAGTTCAACTAACCCTATACTTTGGTTGAACTCTACAAAGTTGAATGAATTCCTGGGGTCAGTTGATCAATGGGCATCTTTTAGGCACCTGCTATATGCCCTGTCCTGAACCAAACACAGTGAGAGAAATGAGTGCAATGAAGGTGCAGTGGTGGTTTGCCTGGCGAGGTTCAACATGTCCAGGGTGCGGTGGGCACAGGTTGGTGATCTCTGCCCCCCCAGCTTTAATATCAGATTCTCTACCATATTTCCTTTGCTTCAGCCTCTCCTAGCCCCCCAGCCTTCTTGTTGTCCTGCTTAATCGTGTCCTTCACGATTCAATCAGCTTAAAGGAAAGGACTAGATAAACTTGTTTCCTGAGGGGACAGAGACCGATCTTAAGGGGGTGGATTGTGGCTCCCAGCAGGAGGGAGATCATTCTCCTCACTTGGCAGATGAAGATTCTTCCTCTTTGGGGGAGAGGAATCAAATAGATGGACTAGGCCATCTGTGTGGGATGCCTCTTTGGGAGTCACTGAGTTCTCCTAATTTCAGAGGTGAGAGTAGACCCAGAGGCTTTGTAAAGGTCACCCTGGAACTGAGCCAGAACTAGAACCCAGGTCCTCTCTGGCTTATTGGCTTCTCCAATTCAGTATCCTTGCCCCAAATCCTATAATTAGTAAATTTCACAGACGGAGACTCCTAGTTCCAAAATCCATTTTGTTTTTCACTACCCGCTTTCCTTTCAATATGTGGTCTAAGTGAGCTTATGAAAGCACATCCCCATTTTGAGGAGCTATGGACAGGTGGTTAAGACAGAGGAGCTCTAGCCCAGTCACAAAGCAGTCTTACAGATTCGGCATTGTTATCCCTAAACCAAGATGAGAAACCTGGTCGAGGAAAGCCTGGCACTTCTTTAGCCAATAACCAGTTAGGATCCATGCTTTCTTCTTCCAGGGTCCCTGGCCCAGGCTCTTGGCCCACAGCCAGGGATGGCACCCCCCATCCAGTCTCGCTTTCTCTAACATTTCTCCTCATACCCCTCTCTGGTTACCAGTCTATCCCCAACACCAAAAAAAAAAGTGAAAGGTCTCCTCCCAGTTTCCTGAGCCATGGGAATGGTTCCTGTTGAACTGTATCTGACCCCAAGTCAGAGATGAGGCTATAACCTCTCCTCTCCTTGCCCCACACTCACTCTGGGAGAGGAAGCTCTGGATGGCTGTAGCTTATGGTCTGGCTTTGTTTCTCTCATCCTCTTATTAGCTGCCTAATTGGCAGCCCCATTAATCTGCTCATCTGTGAAGGAGGATAGATCACAATGAGCTACTCCATTCCCAGAAGCCATTCTCTGTGGCAGCGTGACCAGGCCCTGAGCATAGGCTGGCTCCTTGATGGAGGGCTGCCCCAGGAGCTGGGGTCAATTAGTGGACAGATTAAGCAATTATTAGCCCCTAACAAGGGTGCCTGGCATCATTATCCTGCCTGTTTACTGGCAAACTGCAGATTTGATATGAAGACCAACAAATAAATTAGGACATCTGGTCTACTGCCGGATCGGCTGAGAAGTAAATGATGTCCAACTGGCTTTCGGCTGCTGACGGATTCTAAGCCCCAGCCTAATGAAAAGCTTGAGATGTCCCTTGCTGGTCACAGCATCTTTGGGATGTGCTGTGCAAGATTTATCATTCCAAGAGCTAAGTGCCTACCACTGGGACCGTGGGGTATTCTTAGCTACCCTGCTGCCTTCCTCCCATCTGTCTGTTAAAACCTGCTTATCTTTCAGGACCCACAAACACTTCATTCTCCTTGATGCTTTCCCTGCTCCCACCACCAGGAAAAGAGTCCCTCTTTGGTAATTTGGGAGAGTTTTGTACTCCCCTGTCACTTCCCAGCATTACAGTCATTTTCTGCACTGCCAGAGCTCTGCTTTGCCTGTTTGTTTTTTTCAGGTCTCTGATGAAGAAGTGGAAATGTGTAGAAGAGGAGGGAAAGGGCAGGCACTCCGAGCTGCTTCCTTGTCCCTTCTGTACATGTAGGCAGGCCATGACCAGAAGGGTATCAGTGAGGGGAGTGGCTGGCAGATTTGCACTTGGGGAAGATCCCTCTGGCTGCAGTGATGAGGGCACTTCCCAGAGGTGGTTGCTGTCATTCAGGCCAGCTGTGCTTTTCTCACCCAGGCTAGATGTGATGGTGGCCTAGAATAGGAGAGAAGCAGGGGGATGGACATGAGGGGTAGATTTGCTAGGTTCAGGGAAGAGACCTGGGAATTGCCTGACTGTCATGGAGCATTCAGCGTTTCTAAATTTTGTGACCAGGAGGTTAGGTGGTATTGGTGCCAGAAAGAAGCAGAGAGAGCAGCTGGCCCTGGAGTCTGGGAACAGAGGACCCTCAAAGTGGGGAAGGGAGCAGAGTTGGGATATTGAAGAAACCTCCTTCATCTCCTGTGACTTTAACAAAATCCCTTCTCCTCACTTTTTCCAGGTGTGCCTATCAGCAACCTGAGGATTTAGATCCCTAAAGTCTCTGACTCCTTAGTCACCCAATCCCATGTCAATGTTTAGCTAACAGTGTGGCCCTTAGACTGCATCTCTTAATTTATTATTCAGAGTTATCCTGCCTCTCTCCCATCTGTCTGTCAAAACCCAGCAGGAACCTCAAAGGTGCAGCTTAAATGCTATCTTCTGTGGGAAGCCCCTGCTATACTCTCCAGGAGGATATGTTCTTTCCCTCCTTCCCATGTGCTTCAATATTGTGTCTTGAACTGTTTCTTGGAAACAAATATAGTTGTAAAATTCACTGAGCAGCACTTCATCTATAGCCATATACCCACAGAGGCTAACAATAACAACATAAGCCAAAAATCACTTATTGAGCTCTTACTGTTTCCCAAGATGAGAACAGTGTGCTCCCTCCTTGAGATACTTTAAGGTTAACCCAGATGCTTCTTTTTCCTTAGGGATCATTGACTTCCTCATAAGTCAGCACCCGATTGCCCGGGTCCTACGGGAACACCTGGTCTTCAAGATTGCCCCAATGCTCAACCCTGATGGTGTCTACCTGGGCAATTACAGGTGAGAGACAGAGGATAGTGCTTGGAAGCTGGTAGTCCTAGGATGGTGGCATGGAAGCAGGGGAAAAAAGGGTATATATTTTTGAGGAGAAATTTTCAGATTACCCATGAGTTCATTAGAGGAGGTTCCACCCTGGCTCTTGAGAATGTGTCTAATGAGCCTTCACAGCCACTTGAGGTCACTCAGTTTTTTGGAAGCCCTCCTGGTCCTTACCAGGTTTTTGGGGGCAGCCTGCTGGACCAGGAATCAGGAGACCTAGTATCAGTTTTGGCACTTACTTCCTATGTAACCTTGGAGAATTCACTTTCCCAGTCTGAGGTTTGGTTTCTCTTGCACAATGAGGACAATAATTACTTACCCAACAGGGCACTTGTGAACCCCAAAAGAAATGATGGGGATGAATGTGTTTTGCAGAGTATCATGTGGTGATTAGAAAAGTCACTGTTTTGCTTCTGCATTTCTTTTTGGAGATCATTAATGAAGGAGAGTGTCACCCCAGGACGTTGGACAGCATGTCTCTTTGGTGTGTGGGCAATACCAGCTAGCCCCATACTCACTCATACCCTCATGTCTTGAACGCTTTTTCTCCTGGCCTAGCCTAAAATTCCACTGCCCAGGGGATCATTGCCAAAAGAACATTGAATCCTCTGAGACAGTGTTATTACCCTTATTTCACAGTTGAGGCAACACACTTGCACAAAGTCACACAGCCAGTAAGTCATTTACTGTCTAACTTCGCTGCCTGAATCATACAGCTTTAGAGCTGATTATGATTAGTCCCACAGGCTAGGGGGTAACAGTCAGTCTCTGTAGCTTTGCACGCAAGGCTCTGTGTGGCCTGGTGCCTGTCTGTTCACCATCCCTCCTCACCTCTCTCCTTCCCACTTCACCTCTCACCCTCCACTCTGAGAACTGTTGTTCTAGCCACTGTAAGCAAAGTCTAGTCCCCTAGACATGTCCTGTTGGCCCCTGACACCTTACCTTCATAAAGGCTGCCCTCTCTCCAGAACCTTCCGATCTCTTCTTCATCTCACTAACCCCTCTTCACAACTCAACTTAATGCCTCTTCTGGAAAACATCTCCCAGCCCCCCAAACAGAACTGGTCATTCCTTTCTCTGAGTTCTCATAGGCCAGGTTATTGAACAGATCTCATCCCATCACATGGACCCTACTGGCCCTCAAGGCACCAGAGGTCAGACACGGAGCTTTAATCGTCCTTATGAGCCTGGTGCGTAGCAGCAGGGATCAGCACACAGTGGATGCTCAAAAAGTGTCTGATGAATGTGAGTGAAGGATAGGGACAACTTTACTGATGGAGAAACAGGCCTAGAGATGAAAAAGGACTTGCCCAACTTCAGTAGCAGAGCTCAGACCAGAACCCAGATTTCCTGACACCCAGCCAGGCTTTAAACAGAGTTGGTTTATGACTTTCCAAAAGCTTGGCCCCAGAGGGGCTTCCTAGTGTCCCTGGGTATGAGTTAGAAAGAGCCCATGGGATGCATGACGCCTTAATTAAAGACAGTGTTGTTCCCTCTCTTAATTGGCTCAAGCGATGGTTCATTAGTGCTGACAGGTTTTATGGCTTGCTGCAGGCCTGGGAACAAGGCTTTCCACCTTGCCTGGACAGAATGCACTATTAGTGATAATGGTGGTGGAAAGACCGTTTGATTTATGTTAACATTTCTGTTTAATTACAAGAGCGGCAGTGGCCAGAGAGAGGTCAGTGCTCTCCACTCCATACACTTATCATGTCGTCATCTGCATTCCAGGGATGACGAGTTAGAAAGAGGTCTGTGACCTTGGCTGGAATGCCTTAATTCCCTGGGCTTCAGATGGCGGGTGGGGTGGTAATGGGGAGCTGGATGCTTTCTGTAGGTCTTTAAGTTCCAGATTTTGTGATTTGGGGATTTCAGGAAAAAAGAGCTCCAGCCTTCAGAAATGGCTCTCTAAGGAAGTTTTAAAGCCCTAACATTCTCCTAGTGAGGATATGTGGTTCTCATTATGAGAGTTGGAGAAAATGTCTAACCACAGGCATTAATCCTGTTGCTAAAACAGCTCTTAGTAACAACAAGGAACCTGTCAATCATGAAAATTCAGTACTAAAGATTTGGAGAATATGAAAAATAACAATAAAGACTCAGAAATGAGAACTTCACAGTGCTTTAGAGGTCCTCTAAGCTAGTCCCTCCCAGAGTCACCCTGCCGACTAGAGCGCTGTGTCCTGGGGTTCGTGGGCCTTGCCAAAGCATTGTAAGGGAAGAAGGAATTCAGTCGGAGCAAGTTTGGGAAGCATGGAGTCAAGCACAGTTAAACATGTTTTTCTACAATAAGATGTTTTGGTTTTGAATATGATAATAAACAGGAATCTCAAGAGGTGAGTATAGTATTCAGTGTGGCCCAAAGGTAAGTATCAAGGAACCGTTTCCCTATAGAGCCTGTCTCCTCCCACCCCTTCACCCTCCACCCCACTGTCCACCTCCAGCCCTCAGTGGTATTAGGGTTTATAAAACACATTTTGGGAAATGCCACTCCAAGACTTTGGCTTGCCCCCTCCCCCCAGTGCCATGGCAGACACTCGCACCCTTACCTCACATCTCTGTGATGGAGGGTCTTTGTGAAGGTGTCTCTGCTCACAAGTATAAAAATCTACTCAAATTAGCTTGAGTACAGAAGGATATGTGGGAGGGAGGGAAGCAGGGAGGAAAGAAAAGAGGCAGGAGCAAAGGAAGGAAGGGAGAAAGGAAGAGGTGGATGGAGGAAGAGAGGAAGGAGAAGAGGAAGTAGGGAGGAAGGAGAGACGGCTGCCAGAATCCTAGGGCAGTGAACAGAGCCAGAGCTCGCATGGACGAATCACACTGCTGGAAGCAGGTGGCTCGTTGCTGCCTGCCTCTCAGGTTCTCCAGCCCCCACTCTCTCAGCATCCCCTCAGGTTGGGGAGTCTCGCAAGCCTCAGCGCAGTTAAACAATCTGCCTTAGGTTGTGGGGAGCAGGCAGGGACACAAGTCTGTCAGAGCCCGAGGTGGTCCTCCCCACTGCCCTCTCCACTCCTGCAGCCAGCATCAGCCAGCCGGGCCCTGTGTGAACAGGAGACAGGCCTGCCCTCAAGGTGCTTCTCCTCCCCCTCCTCCTGCCTCTTTTCTTCCTCTGCATTGAAGAAACATGTAGTCCAATTTAGGAAGGAGAATCAGAAGATTTCCCAGATGTGATTGTGCAAATTGATAACACAAGTACCTATGCTATGATGTTTACAGTAAAATAGACAAGTTGTCATCTAGCATTTAATTGCAAGTGATGGCAACCTCACATCTAGCATTTAATTGCAAGTGACAGTAACCTCAGCATGATAGATACCACTCTTTAGGTTAAAGAGCAGAAGCCCTTACTAACTGGGGTACAGTATGTGTTACAAGACTTTATCTCATGGGAACAGGTATGGAGAGCCTCTGCCTCAGTTATAGTGACTACAGCATACTGTCAGTAGCCACCTGTAATAGACAGTATAACAGTAGATAGTAATGATATTATGGTATATAATAAAGACACAAAGCAACCATACACTCTGTCTCACTTTCTACACCCCAGTGGCACACTGGCCCTTTTTTGAGTGCAGGTCTGATGCTTAATGTCAATTCACAGAAAGGCCCTCCTAAGCTGCCAATATGAAGTGGGTCTCCTGTCCATGCTCTAGAGTACTCCATCCTCTCACAGACTGTGCCCCAGTCTGTAAACATGTTTATTTATATGACTATTTGTTTAACAACTGTCTCCACTTCTACACTGCAAACTGCATGAAGTCAGGACTTGTGTTCCCAAAGACTGGCACAGTGTCAACACAAAAGGGCCATGGATACATATTTTCTGAATGATTACATAAACTACACAGCCGTGTTTAGCCATTGTGCTGTGGCACAGAGCTGCAATCCCCAGTGTAGATAACTGTCACCAGATGCATTAGCTCTGTGCTTCCTTCCCCTGCGCTGCCTCCTAAGCCCAGCTGTCTTGATGGTATGCTTGCTGTGACGTGAATACTATGAGGAGCCACTGCTGTGATTTAGCGAACTCTGAATTCATAGCCACATTTTGTTATTTTATAAGACATCATACTTTTAAAGGCACTCAAAAACCACATTTAATCATTAGAACTCTTTGAGAAAGAAAGTCAGTTTTTACTGTATTCACTTGAGCAAAAGGGAAACTGAGGCCATGTTGGTGAAGAGCCGTGTTCCAAGTCACATGGTATGCCCAGGGACTCTGCTCTCTCAGACATGCCTCTGCCTTACAACTGGAGGTTCAGCAGAGAACTGGGGGCCTAACTTCCACCATTGTCCTGAGCCTTCTTGTCCTTGGACGAGACACTTCTCTTCCCTGGCCTCAGCTTCCCTCCTGCCCTCTTGGAAGAGGAAAATGAGGTGAAAGGCATCTTCCACCATTTAGTAGAAGTACTGGAGAAAGGCCCTGTCAAGAATAGCGTGGCTACATGGATGAATCTTGAGGACATTATGCTGTGTGCAGTAAGCCAGTCACAAAAAGACAAATACTATATGATGCCACTTACATGAAATACTTAGCATAGTCAAAATCAAAGACAAAAAGTAGAATGGAGGTTGCCAGGGGCTGGGGAGAAGTGGGAATGGAGAGCTATTGTTTAGTGGGTACAGAATTTCAGGCTTACTAAATGAAGAGTTTTGGAGATGGATAGTGATGACGATAGCACAATATTATGAATGTACTTAATGCTACTGAACTGCATACTTCAAAATGATTAAGATGGTAAATTTTGTGCTGTGTGTAATTTACCACAATGAAAAAAGTAAGAATGGTATGGCTACTGATGTAACGTGAGCATCTTTGGAGAATTCTGGGGGGATTTGGGACCTAAGGGTCTTGAGTAATAAACAGTGCTCAGGTAATACCAGGCCAAGAAGCTACAAGGCAACTCCTACTTGGAAGGCCATTGGGGTAGGCGGGGGATGAGCTGAGTCAGTCCATAATTGGCTGG